CCCCCCCCCCGTAGTGTAGATGTAGCCTAAGGAAAAAAAACAGAGCCACAAACCTCACTAACACTTTTTTGTCTCTTCTTCTTGTCAGTTTTATTTTCCTTTATTTTCAAGTGGATCCCAAATAACAAAATTTTTAAAAAGCTAAAATCTGAACAATCATGTAAGGCAGGCTCTAACACACCCACCACACAATGGCCCCAAAAGACAAACTAAGGAATACACACAAAACTTGGAAATACAAGTATTCCATTACATACAATGCCCCCAAATCCAAAAAATGACCTTTCAACCACAAGTCTTCCTTAGTGTAGGGTATTTAAAAAAGAGTCTGAATGACAAGGAAGCTTTCACAGTATAGTCACATCATCGAAGCAATAAAATATGTCAGTAAAATATATTATATCTCCTCATGAAGAAAATTTTATTACATTTGTATATTATAAAATATAATATACATATTTGTGAGATGGTGCCAATGCAATCAACTGCGGAGCAATGTGATACATTGCATTTAGCAAGCATCTTTCACAATCTCATCTGTACTCTATTCACAAATCCACTTGCCTCGGGATTTACGCTAACATTCCAAACCTCTGAGCAGCTTAAAACAGCTGCCATCTTAAAAAGCTGACTGTCACAATAGTTCTCTATTTATTTCACAAATATGTAATTTCCTTCCAAATATACACTTGTCTACAGTACACCACAGACCATATACAATCATACACAAACTGTAAGGTCACATGCCTCACAACCCATCATGACTAGCAAATAAGAGCTTATACCACTGGACAAGAGAAATTCTAGGTTTTCAGTGAGGCATGGTGCACTTGCTTCTAGCACTGACAGGTCCAAAAAGCAGAACTTTGAAGTCATGATGAGTTTATGACAAGGCATTTTACGAGTACCAAGGATAAATCATCTCTGGCAGGAACGACATATTCCCTGGAGCCACCTTCCCTCTGGAAATGCCCCATCGTCCCCTCAGGTGCTCATACAGCTGGCCTCTGGCTAGTACGTTTCTGATCATATATATTTAATTAATGTGTTGTTTAGGTCATAAAGGCCATTTCACAATCCACACTTCCAAAGCAAGGGAATGTGGATCTCTCTAGTGTCTGTGAGGGACAGGCACCCCATCACTTCCTAGTTTCATTGAGTTTAAGGCCAGAAGGGACCATTAGACACCTAGTTTGACCTCCCGTACGCCACATGCCATTAATTTTCACCTGGATACCACTATATTAAGCCCAAACACTTTAGTCAGACTAAAACATTTCAGTCCTCAGGTGACTAAATTGTGTGCCAGTAGGACAGAACGGGGAGAGACTAAGATACCATGAATGCCCAAAGCCCCTACAATCGCAGAGAATCAGTTAGGATATGCCCAGATCTTGGCAGGTAAACCGCACCCCATGCTGCAAACAAAGGCAAAAAGCCACCAAAGTCCCAGCTAATAGGGGGGAAATTCTGTTACATTTTCTATAGAAGTTGGTATTTCCACTACTACCACAACCACAATGGTCTCTCCCCCCTCTCCCCCCCAAAAGAGCAAACAGTGAGGGAATCAGGAGGGACTCCAATAGCTGCCAACAAATAATAAACCAAACCTGTATACCCATGGGTTTTCATAGTCTAGCTGTGTGCACAAGAACATGCTCATATTACTATTAACCGTCCTTATTCTTCCCCCCTTTATTTGATTCACCGACCCATTACATCTTCCTTAGACACAAGCCTAGTCCACATTAGAAAAGTGGTGCTACTTTAAAACTAAGTTGCTTTCAAATCAGTCTAGTCAAACTGGTGCAAATTCCTGCATAAATGCATTTACCCTGGATTAACCCTCACTTCAATCAGTTTAGTTTAATTTGATAATTTAAAAATTATGTAAACTGACAAACCTTTTCGGATATAGCAAAGCCCTAAGATTGTAAATCTAAGACAGGAACACTGTGTTGTTTGGGGGGTTTTGGCTTTTTGGAGGAGAAGAAAGAGAGAAGAGTACTGTATCTGTGTAATCATAGCTCTATAACCTGCATCCTTCACTGGCCCTCCCTTTCTAGGTATATGTTAAATCTACATTTGTAAGCCCTTCAGAGTATAGACCCATTTCTAAGTGTTTCACGGAGGAACCAGCTATAGTTACAGGCACTATAAAATATACAAATTTGCAGTGGGAACACACTGGCATATTCTAGAGCTTTCCACGGTGACTGCTTAATACTTTTTAAATTTTTTTTTACTGTTTCATTCTCATTTTCAAATCATTGCCCACTTCTCAAAACACAGACCCTTGCCCCTGACCAGTTAATACATACCCCATCTGTAACCAGCTCCAATCCCACCAGGCCAAATTTCAGAATTCCCCTTGCTCTCCAGCAGCACGACTCCACCTTTCTACAGCAGTCCAACATGACCCCTTGATTTTGAATCCTCTTTCATAAACTTGTCCCACGCAACAACAGCTTCTGTTACACCTCCCCCGCCCCAGCAAACCCTTCCCACCCCACCGCCGGCCCAAGCAACCCCCACGGCCTCCCAGTGGTCCCCCGTCAGGAGTGAGATAGAAGAGGGCCCACAGCTCCCGCCTCTCCTCAAGGCGGGAACAGCGCGAGCCCCTTCAGTATAGTAACGCCCACACCCTCCGGCCGCCGGGGAGCCCAGCACTGTGGCCACGCCCCGAGCCCGCCGACTCAGTTACCGTTGGGCGATGCTGAGGAATCGTGTGGAAGCATCCTGGGCGCTATACAGCTCCATGGGAGTTGCGCGCCGCTCATGCCTCCGGCTCCACCGTCAGGAACCGGTTCTCCCGCCGGGAGTAGTGACCGACAGCGGTTCAGCTCAGAGAACATTCCGCTCCCCGGGCGGTGGGACCCGACCCTGAATCTCCCTCCATCCCCCAACGCATCAATCACGGCTCGCCAAACCACCCATGAGCATGCTCCGCCCGCGCTGTTCCCACAGACAACCCCCCCCTCCAGCGGTGCATAGTGGGATCTGTAGTTCTGAGGCCGAAGCAGCCTGAGGGGCGCTTCCAGCTGCGGCCCTGGGTTCCTAGGGTGAGAGTGCAAACATGACTTATAAGATCCCTGGCGGACCATCTCCAAATCCCGCCCTGCTTTGGCAGTCTACAAGATTCACCCAGCCGCTTCACTCCACAACAGTGTCCTGCACCCCTTTCATATAGTACTTAATATGTGACAAAGACCCCCAATCAGGAACACACAGAAATTACCCTGGCGGGAGGCTGAAAATAGTATGGGATCCCCTCCCCTGGGCAGCTGGTTGGTGGATGCCCTGGTAAACCATTTAGCACAGAGGGTCACTTGTTTACAAACTACCAGGAGCCCCGCTTCATTGCAGTTCAGTGTTCAGCAAATTCCCGTTGCAATTTACTCCAAACTACAACTCTTTTGAATAGGGTGACCAGACAGCAAGTGTGAAAAATCGGGACAGGGGGTGGGGGGTAATAGGAGCCTATATAAGAAAAAGACCCAAAAATCAGGACTGTCCCTATAAAATCAGGACATCTGGTTACCCTATTTTTGAACTGTGCCATACACAGGCGCCAACTTTTCAAACTGTCGGGGGGGTGTTCGGCCCCAGGCCTTGCCCCCCACTCCACCCCTCTCCCCAAGGCCCCACACCCACCCCGCTTCTTCCCGCCCAGTTCTACCCCCTTCCGGAGCATGCCGCGTCCCCACTCCTCCCCTCTTCCTGCACGCCCAGAAACAGTTGTTCGCGGCAGGAGCCGCCAGGAGGTGCTGATCTGTGGGGTCTACTGGTGGGCAGGAGGTGCAGGGAGAGCTAATAGGGAGGCTGACTGTGGGTGCTCTGCATGGAGTCGGCACCTCACTGTTCCACTCCTTATAGGTGCAGTAGCCATACACAGATACTGCAGTTTTATTCCATATACCACATAGACTAGTGCAAGCATAGGCACCGACTCCGTGGGTGCTCCGGGGCTGGAGCACCCAGGGGGAAAAATTGGTGGGTGCTCTGCACCCACCGGCAGCTCCCCATCCCACCCCAGCTCACGTCCGCCTCCTCCCCCAAGCGTGCTACATGCCCACTTTTCCCCCCTAGCTCCCAGCACTTGCGCCACTTCACACAGCAAGCACTGGGAGGGAAGGGGGAAGAGGGGGAACACAGCACTGGGGAAGAGGCGGGGCCAGGGCAGGGATTTGGGGAAGGGGTCCAATGGGAGAGGGAGAGGGGGGAGACAATATTTCCATTAATAAATCAAAATTTACAGATAGGCAAAGTTAGAAAAATGCTGCTTAAGAACTTGTTAGAGTTTGATTTAAGGATATTTGTATATTTTGACATGTGATATTGACAAATTGTGTTTTAATGGTATAAATCTTGAACTTTTTGTCTACTGTCAAATAATTATTGTCTGTCCCCACCCACCCCCAATATCCTACAACTGTAAACATTTAAATAAATAAATAAAATAGAAAAAAATGCTTAAAAATAAACATTTATGTTATTTGTCATATATATATAGTGGATGGAAACCTGGGAGGCAGTGACCATCAGATGGTCGAGTTCAGGATCCTGACACAAGGAAGAAAGGAGAGCAGCAGAATATGGACCCTGGACTTCAGAAAAGCAGACTTTGACTCCCTCAGGGAACTGATGGGCAGGATCCCCTGGGAGAATAATATGAGCGGGAAAGAAGCCCAGGAGAGCTGGCTGTATTTTAAAGAATCCTTATTGAGGTTGCAGGAACATATCATCCCAATGTGTAGAAAGACTAGTAAATATGGCAGGCAACCAGCTTGGCTTAACAGTGAAATCCTTGCTGACATTTAACACAAAACAGAAGCTTACAAGAAGTGAAAGATTGGACAAATGACCAGGGAGGAGTATAAAAATATTGCTCAGGCATGCAGGAGTGAAATCAGGAAGGCCAAATCACACTTGGAGTTGCAGCTAGAAAGGGATGTTAAGAGTAACAAGAAGGGTTTCTACAGGTACGTTAGCAACAAGAAGGTCAGGGAAAGTGTGGGCCCCTTACTGAATGGGGGAGGCAACCTAGTGACAGAGGATGTGGGAAAAGCTAATGTACTCAATGCTTTTTTTGCCTCTGTCTTCACGAACAAGGTCAGCTCCCAGACTACAGCATTGGGCAGCACAGTATGGGGAGGAGGTGACCAGCCCTCTATGGAGAAAGAAGTGGTTCGGAACTATTTAGAAAGGCTAAACGAGCACAAGTCCATGGGGCCGGATGCACTGCATCCGAGGGTCCTAAAGGAGTTGGCGGATGTGACTGCAGAGCCATTGGCCATTATCTTTGAAAACTCATGGCGATCAGGGGAGGTCGCGGATGACTGGAAAAAGGTTAATGTAGCCTCACCTCAGTCCCTGGAAAAAATCATGGAGCAGGTCCTCAAGGAATCAATTCTGAAGCACTTAGAGGAGAGGAAAGTGATCAGGAACAGTCAGGAACCGTCACCAAAGGCAAATCATGCCTGACTAGCCTAATTCCTTCTATGATGAGATAACTGGCTCTGTGGATGAGGGGAAAGCAGTGGATGTGTTATTCCTTGACTTTAGCAAAGCTTTTGATATAGTCTGTCACAGACTCACAGGTCATGCCCACTTCGTCACAGTCTCCCACAGTCTTCTTGCCAGCAAGTTAAAGAAGTATGGGGGGGATGAATGGACTATAAGGTGGATAGAAAGCTGGCTAGATCATCGGGCTCAACGAACAGTTATTAATGGCTTCATGTCTAGTTGGTAGCTGGTATCAAGCAGAGTGCCCAAAGGGTTGGTCCTGGGGCTGGTTTTGTTCAATATCTTCATTAATGATCTGGAGGATGGCGTGGATTGCATCCTCAGCAAGTTTGCAGTTGACACTAAACTGGAAGGAGTGGTAGATATGCTGGAGGGTAGGGATAAGATACAGAGGGACCTAGACAAATTAGAGGATTGGGCCAAAAGAAATCTGATGAGGTTCAACAAGGACAAGTGCAGAGTCCTGCACTTAGGACAGAAGAATCCCATGCACTGCTACAGACGAGGGACCAAGTCACTAGACAGCAGTTCTGCAGAAAAGGACCTAGGGGTTACAGTGGACAAGAAGCTGGATATGAGTCAACCGTGTGCCAAGAAGGCTAACGGCATTTTGGGCTGTATAAGAAGGAGCATTGCCAGCAGATCAAGGGACGTGATCATTCCCCTCTACTCGGCACTGGTGAGGCCTCATCTGGAGTACTGTGTCCAGTTTTGGGCCCCACACTACAAGAAGGATGTGGAAAAATTGGAAAGAGTCCGGCGGAGGGCAACAAAAATGATTAGGGGGCTCGAGCACATGACTTATGAGGAGAGGCTGAGGGAACTGGGATTAGAAATGAGGGGGGATTTGATAGCTGCTTTCAACTACCCTGAAAGGGGGTTCCAAAGAGGATGGATCTAGATTGTTCTCAGTGGTAGCAGATGATAGAACAAGGAGTAATGGTCTCAAGTTGCAGTGGGGGAAGTTTAGGTTGGATATTAGGAAAAACTTTTTCACTAGGTGGCTGGTGAAGCACTGAAATGGGTTACCTAGGGAGGTGGTGGAATCTCCTTCCTTAGAGGTTTTTAAGGTCAGGCTTGACAAAGCCCTGGCTGGGATGATTTAATTGGGGATTAGTCCTGCTTTGAGCAGGGGGTTGGACTAGATGACCTCCTGAGGTTCCTTCCAACCCTGATATTCTATGATTCTAACATTGTAAGAAAATGACTTGGGAGTCACCTGATTGGAATGGACATGAACAACACATCTCGAAAAACAACAGTTACAAGAAGGTGAGTAACCGTTTTTTCTTCTTCAAGTGCTTGTTCATGTCGATTCCAATCAGGTGACTCCCAAGCTCTCCCCCAGAGGTGAGGTCGGAGTTAAGGAATCGCTGACTGGAGCACTGCTCTGCCGAATGCTGCATCATCTCTGGCCTGCTGGGTGATAGCATAGTGAGTGGTACACATATGCACTAATGACCAGGATGCTGCTCTGCAAATCTGAATGGGGATCTGGGCCAGGAAAGCAGCTGACGAGGCTTGCGCCCTTATGGAGTGTGCTGTAATAGCTGGGAGTGGGACCTTAGCCAGCTCGTAGCATGTGCAGATGCAGTCTGTGATCCAGGAACAAAAGCATTGGGAAGAGACAGGGAGCCCTTTCATTTGGTCTGCTACCACCACAAACAGTTGGTTGGATTTCTCGAAAGGCTTAGTGCGCTCGATATAGAATGCTAGTGCACGCTGGACATTCAGTGAGTAAAGCCTCAGCTCCTATGCACTGGTATGAGGCTTGGGACAGAAGACTGATAAAAAAATGTCTTGGCTAGTATGAAATTGGGATTCCACCTTGGGAAGGAATCTGGGTGAGGTCTGAGTTGCACCTTGTGGAAGACCATGTATGGTGGGGTGGGAGGTTAGTGCTTTTAACTTGGACACCCTCCTAGCTGATGTGATGGTGACCAGGAATGCCACCTTCCACGACAAATTCAGAAGGGAGCAAGTTGCCAACGGTTTGAAAGGGGGCCAGAAGTCTGAAGAGGACCAGATTAAGATCCCATGCAGGCACAGGTTGTCGAGTCTGTGGATATAACCTTTCCAGGCCCTTGAGGAAATGCCCTACCATGGGGTTGGCGAACATGGAACCCCCCAACTCTCTTGGGTGGAAAGCCTAGATAGCAGTGAGGTGTACCCTGATTGATGACCCTGCCAGGCCCTGTTGTTTCAGGTGTAGGAGGTACTCCAGGGCGAGTAGTATAGGCACCTAGTATAGGCAGAAATGTGCGATGCTGGGCACAGCAGCAAGTGAACCTCTTCCACTTAGCTAGATAAGTGGCCCTGGTGGATGGCTTTCTGCTGCCAAGCAGAACCTCCCTTACCAGTTCTGAGCACAGGAACTCCATTGAGTTTAACCATGAAGCTTCCAAGCCGTGAGATGGAA